CTCCATCTTCTCCATCTTCTTCTCCTCCGCTAGCACCATCTCTTCCTCCTTCATCTCCTCCTCACCTTCCGGCACCACCATCTCCACCACCGTCTTCTCTTCCTCCTCCACCACCATTGTTTCCCCTTTGTCCGTCGTCTCCATGTCCTCCACCACGACCATCTGTTCATCCTTTGTTGTCTCCTTGTCCTCCATCTCCGTATTGTCTTTCTCCTCTCCCTCCGTGTTCTCCTCCATTGTCACCATCACAATCTCGTCCTCCTTTGCCTTCTCTTCCTCCGATTTCTCCTCCTCCTCTGTCTCGACCTCATCCTCCATCATCTCCTCCTTTACCTCTTCCTTCGTCTCCTTCTCCACAACTTCTGTCTTCGCTCCGAAAGCCTGGACGAGTGAGGAGGAGGGCTGAGCTGGCTCAGATCTGTGAAGAGACAACACGACACCGTTCTAGATTTGAAGCTTTCGTGACTGCAATGATTCATATTCTTAGGTTTTTTCGGTAAAGTCACGTAGGTAAAAAAACATAAAAAAGTAAAATTAAATAACATAAAAAATAAAAATCACGACGTTTATGAGGCAACACAAGCTTCCGTCTTCAGGTGGAACCGTCACAGCCACGACATCTGTATTAGGTAAATGAGAGATTGCAGAAGCTACCACTTCGTTTATATGATGGTTGGAGAAGGTGGTGGGGCAAGGGCCGCATACTTTTATTAATATGGTAAGGTGAGGCTTAAGACTAAGAATAGACTGTGTGGTGCCACAACGACGGGGCCGCTCTGCCGAGCCAGGGAGCCGCCCGGCGTCCCCCACCGCACTGCCCCCCATCACCCGCCCCACATAAACACACACCCGCACGCATCCCCCCCCCCCCCCCATAGAGCTGGAAGGGAAGGTTACCTGATCGACCGGTTTTTATCCGAGAGACCCTTATCGGGATTAATTCTCACGGTTTCCGGCGATCAGGGAATTGGATGACCTCCCCCGTGCTACGTGGCACCGCGGCGCTGCGGCCGGCCTTAATATGGTGTGGTCGCGGCATGGGGCATTCGGCCACCGCGGTTGAGGCGCATTTCCCCCCACACACACCCCCACGAGTCGACGGGGCAAGCAGGGGAGGCACGGAACAGCATGAATAGCGGGGTCACAGGGGCTGTTGCGCATAGTCATGGAGGGTTGGGATAATTGCGCTTGAGCGCGCAGGCCCCATTGTTAGGAAGGGTAAGGGAGTAATTAGGATGTACGCCGCCAACGTCGCTCACTGATTAGCATATCAACAGCGCCCGGGAACCGCCGTGCGCGGGCTTGGGGTGCACGAGCCCATTGTTCAGAGCAGCATCCCCTTTGAGGTAGGGAGGATAAATAGAGGAGCGCAGAGGGGAAATCGCTCTCTTACTCCAGCGCCAGGCGACCAGACGCAGCTCGAGCCAGCGACCCGGACGTCCGTGCGACGCACCGAGGCACGCGGTTAGCACCAGGATCAGCGGACCGCCGTGGACACTTAACAGTGAGTAAGAAGGTGAATTAGAATCATAGCCGATAAATAGGGAATAGGTGCCGGTTTAGTGGAATAGGCCAGCCTCGTCGACTCACTGATTGAACATTAGTTACCAGGTAATAAATCATTAATAGCGAAGCGTGGTCTCGCGTGATCTTGTCGTGCAGTGTGAGCGTGTGGGAACGCGTGTGGTACTGTGTGTGCGTAAGCTCGCGGCGTGCGTAATAGGCGTACCTCAGGTGCGCGATCATAACGTAAACGGCCAGCAGACGGCGAGCGCTGCGCAGAGCGGTGCAAGAGGGGGTATCGCGTGTGGAGCTGTATGCGTGTGTGCGCGCACGTTCACTACGTGTATGATACAGGTGCGCGATCGTAACGCGAGTGGTCAGTGTTGAGTGAGTGCCGTGCAGAGCTGTGTGTGTGGGTGTGCGCGTACGTAATTAACCATGCCTGCTACGCGGACCCGCGGTGGAGGGGAATCCTCGGGCGATGGCTCCCACACCATGGGTGAGGAACTCAGCAGCGGTTCGCTTAGCAGCGGGGGGGCGATTGATGATGCTAGCCCGGCCGTTAGCATTATCGAGGGAGGGATTTCGGGGGCTAGCGACCCCCACAAATTGGTGTCAGAAGCGGTACGGACCCCCGCGTTACCTCACGCTAAAATAAGACTAATATTTACCGGCCGGGGGGCCCCGTCGTGGAAGGCATTCGCCCGCAATCTCTTAGGGGCCAAGGAAATTAATGGATGGACGGACGCGCAGGCAGTACGTCAACTTAATATGAATGTTGATGGGCGGGCAGCCGATTTTGTAGAAGCGTTACCCGCGAGCGCACAGACACAGCTAGAGGAGCTGATGCGCCGACTCGATCAGCGTTTTGGCACGCGTGACGAGGAGGAAGCAAAATCGGCCTTAGAGGCGCGCCGGCGCCAACCTGGCGAAGATCTACGTGATTACGCCGAGGATGTGCGCGAGTTAACAAAGATCGCACGCCCGGGGTACGCAACTGATGTTATTGAGGAACTGGCCGCCGAGAAAATCCAGCGGTACCTGTCTCGCACGGCATGGTGGCAGCCAGACATGAGCTGCCCACGTCTTCCCTTTAACACCCTTGTCGAGCGCGCACGTAAGTGTGAAAGAATTCACAGCGAACGCGCGCAGCTCCGGGGGCTGGGACGAGAGCGCGCCATTGCGAGCCTGCTCTCGGAAGACGAGGAGGAGGAACAGGAGCTCGCGAGGACGGTAAGGGGCCGGGAAAGAGAGCCTCCAGTGTCCCGCGAGACAACCCCGGGATGGGTTGCCGGTATACAAACGGGTATAAAGGATGTCTCCGGCCAGGTAACCCAGGTACGCGAGGAAACGAATAAAAATATGACCCAAATGCAATCCTCCGTTGAGACCATCCGATCCGAAATGGGGGACCTACGCGCGACGGTGGGAGGGTTATCTGGGAGGGTAGCCCGACTAGAGGCAGAGGGTGGACAGCGGCGTAATGGGGGGGGAGGGAGCGGACAGGGGACCCGCTACGGAACCGCCCCCCCTCCCCGGGCATGTTATATGTGCGATCGCCGAGGGCATCTAGTGAGGGATTGTCCGGAAATCACCCGAGCTAGACAGACGCGGGGGTTAAACTCCAACGCCCCCTAGAGAGCGGACCAACTAGGGGTGCAATCGACGCGGTCCCGATACAAATAGACGATAATGAGAATAATGGCGAGCGAGTGATCTCCACACAGGTTCCAGCAACAACGCCCACAGAAACGGTGACTCCTGGCGACTGGCTACGGGAGCTGGTGGCGGGGATCACGGGGGCCACGTCGCTGGTGGAAGGGGAGGTAAACGGAGTGCGTACCCGAATCCTGCTGGACACGGGGGCGGTGGCCTCGCTCGTGAGCGAAGCGCACTGCAGCGCGATCGGGGTCGACGTGCGTCACCTGCAGGCACCGGACCGCGCGCTGCACACGGCGAGCGGAGCCGGAATGGGGCTGCTGGGGAGAGCCACCCTAGAGGTCCGCATAGGCAGTCAGGTGTGCATCCAGGAGTTCTACGTGTCGAGTGCGTTGTGTCACGAGTGTATCGCAGGTACCGACCTCTTAGAACGGCTGGGACTCAACGTGCAACCCCGCCAGCGATGCGCCACCATGGAGAGCAACGGCGAGCGGATACCGTTCCTGGGACGAGAACCAACGCGCCTCCGCTTTGCACCTGTGGCCGCTATCCAGGCGACGGCAGTCACCATCGGGCCGCTCACCGAGATGCTGGTGCCGGTGGCAACATCCCCCACCGACCCCGCGCTCCTGACCATCAGGGGAGGTAATGCTAACTCCTCACCCGGAGTTGGCAAAACGGTATGGGGTCGTGGGATCCGCCACGTTGGTAAACGCAGATGGGGACCGATTGTTTATGCGGATGTTTAACCCCCACAATACCCCAGCGATACTGCGACGGCGCACCCCGATAGCCACAGTACACCCCCTGCACGCACGCCACTCTAACGACTCGGTGTTCGCACTCTGGGCTGAGGACCCCGGTCGTCCTGAGGGTGAGCAGGACCTGGCCTGGCGAGTCGGCCCGACTCCCCGAGCCGAGGTCGTTCCCTTGCTCGACGCGTTACATGTACCATGGGCGGACTTACCTAAGGGAGAGGCCGATCGGCTGCGCGAGTTACTGCGGGAGTATGCCGACGTGTTCAGTGAACACGACTCGGACGTGGATTTCCTTATTAGTTCACCACATGTGTTCACTGTGCGTCTATGTTGAAGTCAAGGCCAAATAAATCCAACGAACGCGTCATCAATGTACATCCTGAAATCGGATATCTAAAGTCGATTAATACCAATCAAAAAAAGCTATTCACTTTTTGATTTAAAGCTTTCGTGACTGCAGGGATTCATCTTCTTGGTTCTTTCGGTAAAGTCACGTAGAAGGGAAGTAATAAAATAATAAAAATAAAAGATAATAAAATTAGGTGAAAACCACCTGAGGACGGCTGCTTGCGTTGTGGCCGAAACGTCGTGAGAATAATTTTATTATGTTTTATTTTTATTATTTTATTACTTCCCTTCTACGTGACTTTACCGAAAGAACCAAGAAGAAAAAAGCTATATACTTGAAAAAAAACGTTTAATACCTCCAGACGCATTCCAACTTTAGCTCAACAGGAACACTTAACGACTACAATTGAACCCTCTCACAACCAGTGCTCATCACACCACTTCGGCAAGTAATCCGATAATATTACAAACCACCGCTGGGCACGCCATTAAACTCTCACAAAAACTGTAAAACTAAAATGGTCAAAATTACACACAAAAGTACTCGATACGGCTTAAAAGGTATAACCACATGACATAATATTTTTTCAGTCACCCCGAGCTCTCTGGTTGACTCTCGAGCCACTCCATTACATCCAGCCATCTCTCGGGATCCAACTGCATGGGATCGAAGGTGGAAACTTCTTCAGGATTCATTCCAGCACCTCGAATTTCAGCTTTTGATTTTAATTTCCTATCATTGTGGACCTTCTGATGCCTGTTCATGTTTGATGAGCGTGCAAATGCCTTCCCACACACAGGGCACAGGAATGGCTTCTCGCCCGTGTGCGTTCTCTGATGAGTTTGAAGAGATGACGATTGTGCAAATGCCTTCCCACACAGAGGGCACAAGAATGGCTTCTCGCTCGAGATTTAAATACCGTACCGCCGTTTATGGTGCCATAAATTATAAAACCAGTTGATACATTTTTTTGTCGTTTAATGTTTAGTGTTATTGTTTATAGTGTTATCAGTTTACGTGTTTTTAAGTACAGGTGATTCCCGGTATACTTCGGTATTCTGGACCTGAACGTTGCGAAACGATTCATAACGAGGAACTTTCCCCGCCAGAGCGCAAGTGGCTAATGAAAAGAACTCGGGGCAGCGGGAACACGTGCTTCCATGGGCAGGGTGGGGACAGGGCATGGTCGCTCTCTTCTCTCCAGGCCAGCGGACCAGCCGCGGCTCCAGCCAGCGACCCGGACGTCCGTGCGACGCATCGAGGTACGCTGTTAGCGCAGAGAGCAGCGAACCTCCGCGGGCACCAAACAGTGAGTGGGGAGGTGAAGTAGGGTAGCGTAAGCCGATAAATAGGGAATAGGTACAGGTTTAGTGGAATAGGCCAGCCTCGTCGACTCACTGATTCAACATCAATTCGCAGGTAGCATATAATAAATCATTAATAGCGAAGCGTGGTCTCGCGTGATCTTGTCGTGCAGTGTGAGCGTGTGGGTGCGCTGTGTGCACAGTGGTTCGCCACGTGAGTGAGCGCTGCGCGGAGCTGAGCGCGCGGGTTGCGCGTGGGTACGCAGTGATTCTGTGGTGCTGCGGCTCGCCTCGGGGGAGCGCTGCGCAGAGCGGTGCGAGAGTGGGTGTCGCGTGTGTTCACTCCGTGTGTGATACAGGTGCGCGAGTATAACGTGAGTTGAGTTGGAGTGCGCGGAGCGGCGTGTGTGTGGGCGTGCGTGCGTTCGCTCCGCGTGGGTTGCAGGCGCGCGATTAGGAAAGGGAAGTATCGTAGTAGAGAGGGGCAGAATACTAATCGGTAATTAACCATGCCCATTACGCGGACCCGCGGTGGAGGGGAATCCGCGGGCGACGGCTCCCACACCATAGGTGAGGAACTTAGCAGCGGTTCGCTTAGCAGCGGGGGGCGATTGATGATGCTAGCCCGGCCGTTAGCATTATCGAGGGAGGGATCTCGGGGGCTAGCGACCCCAACAAATTGGTGTCGGAAGCGGTACGGACCCCCGCGTTACCTCACGCTAAAATAAGACTAATATTTACCGGCCGGGGGGCCCCTTCGTGGAAGGCATTCGCCCGCAATCTCTTAGGGGCCAAGGAAATTAATGGATGGACGGACGCGCAGGCAGTACGTCAACTTAATATGAATCTTGATGGGCGGGCAGCCGATTTTGTAGAAGCGTTACCCGCGAGCGCACAGACACAGCTAGAGGAGCTGATGCGCCGACTCGATCAGCGTTTTGGCACGCGTGACGAGGAGGAAGCAAAATCGGCCTTAGAGGCGCGCCGTCGCCAACCTGGCGAAGATCTACGTGATTACGCCGAGGATGTGCGCGAGTTAACAAAGATCGCACGCCCGGGGTACGCAACTGAGGTTATTGAGGAACTGGCCGCCGAGAAAATCCAGCGGTACCTGTCTCGCACGGCGTGGTGGCAGCCAGACATGAGCTGCCCACGTCTTCCCTTTAACACCCTTGTCGAGCGCGCACGTAAGTGTGAAAGAATTCACAGCGAACGCGCGCAGCTCCGGGGGCTGGGACGAGAGCGCGCCATTGCGAGCCTGCTCTCGGAAGACAAGGAGGAGGAACAGGAGCTCGCGAGGACGGTAAGGGGCCGGGAAAGAGAGCCACAGAGACCCAGCGAGACGACCCCGGGGTGGGTAGCCGGGTTACAGGCCGGCATGGGAGATATGATAACCCAAGTAGGTGAGAGGGTAACTCAGGTACGCGAGGAAGCAAATAAAAATATGACCAAACTGCAATCCTCCGTTGAGACCATCCGATCCGAGATGGGGGAACTAGACTCCACGGTAGGAGGGCTAACTGGAAGGATAGCGCGACTAGAAGCAGAGTATGAGCAGCAGCGCACTGGGGGAGGAGGGAGTGGGCAGAGAGCCCACTACGGAGCCGCCACCCCTCCCCGGGCGTGTTATGTGTGCGATCGCCGAGGGCATCTAGTGAGGGACTGTCCTCAGGTCGCCCGAGCTAGACAAGAGCTAAGGTCAAACACTAAGGCCCCCTTAGAGAGGGGACCACCGGGGGGTGAAATCGACGTAGCCCCGACACAAACAAGGTGTGAGAATAATGGCGAGCGAGTGATCTCCACACAGGTTCCAGCAACAACGCCCACAGAAACGGTGACTCCTGGCAACTGGCTGCGGGAGCTGGTGGCGGGGATCACGGGGGCCACGTCGCTGGTGGAAGGGGAGGTAAACGGAGTGCGTACCCGCATCCTGCTGGACACGGGGGCGGTGGCCTCGCTCGTGAGCGCAGCGCACTGCAGCGCGATCGGGGTCGACGTGCGTCACCTGCAGGAACCGGACCGCGCGCTGCACACTGCGAGCGGAGCCGGAATGGGGCTGCTGGGGAGAGCCACCCTAGAGGTCCGCATAGGCAGCCAGGTGTGCACGCAGGAGTTCTACGTGTCGAGTGCGTTGTGTCACGAGTGTATCGCAGGCACCGACCTCCTAGAACGGTTGGGACTCAACGTGCAACCCCGCCAGCGATGCGCCACCATGGAGAGCAACGGCGAGCGGATCCCGTTCCTGGGACGAGAACCAACGCGCCGCCGCTTTGCACCTGTGGCCGCTATCCTGGCGACGGCAGTCACCATCGGCCCGCTCACCGAGATGCTGGTGCCGGTGGCAACATCCCCCACCGACCCCGCGCTCCGACCATCAGGGGAGGTAATGCTAACTCCTCACCCGGAGTTGGCAAAACGGTATGGGGTTGTGGGATCCGCCACGTTGGTAAACGCAGATGGGGACCGATTGTTTATGCGGATGTTTAACCCCCACAATACCCCAGCGATACTGCGACGGCGCACCCCGATAGCCACAGTACACCCCCTGCACGCACGCCACTCTAACGACTCGGTGTTCGCGCTCTGGGCTGAGGACCCCGGTCGTCCTGAGGGTGAGCAGGACCTGGCCTGGCGAGTCGGCCCGACTCCCCGAGCCGAGGTCGTTCCCTTGCTCGACGCGTTACATGTACCATGGGCGGACTTACCTAAGGGAGAGGCCGATCGGCTGCGCGAGTTACTGCGGGAGTATGCCGACGTGTTCAGCGAACACGACTCGGACGTGGGTCGGACCGACCTTGTTAAGCACCAAATTGACACCGGTGCAGCCCGACCCATCAAACTCCCTGCGTATCGAGTGGGCGCACCCGAACGCACCCAGATCAAAGAGGCGGTTGGGGACATGCTTCGCGATAACATAATTCAGCCCTCGGCGAGCCCCTGGTCAGCCCCAGTGGTACTAGTAACGAAAAAGGATGGATCAACCCGGTTCTGCGTCGATTACCGTAAACTGAACGCAGTCACGCTCGGCGACGCCTTCCCCATACCCCGCATCGACGACACTTTTGACAGCCTCGCCGGAGCGCGATATTTTTCCACCCTCGATCTCGCGTCCGGGTACTGGCAGGTGGAGATGGCGGAGGAGGATCGGCCGAAAACCGCATTCACCACCCCGATGGGATTATTCGAGTTTCGAGTACTCCCGTTCGGACTCACCAATGCGCCCGCGACGTTCCAGCGGCTGATGGAGTTGGTGATGCGGGGCTTGCAATGGGAACAGTGCCTGATTTACTTGGACGATGTGATAGTGTTCAGTAGATCTTTGTCTGAGCATTGGTCCAGGCTTCGAGAGGTGTTCCAGCGACTGCGAGCGGCTCATCTCAAGCTCAAGCCACGTAAGTGTTACATCGCACAACGCGAGGTGGGGTACCTCGGGCATCGCGTCAGCGAGGCAGGCGTGCGCACCGATCCGGAGAAGGTACGCGCCGTAGTGGAGTGGCCACGGCCAAGGAATTTGACGGAGATCAGATCATTTTTGGGGCTTGCCACCTATTATCGTCGATTTGTAAAGGGATTCAGCGAGATTGCACGCCCCCTCACCCAACTCACTTCCCCTAAGCACCCCTATCAGTGGACGGGGGCCTGCCAGACGGCCTTCACCACTCTCAAAGACCACCTCACCCACGCCCCCACCCTCGCTTTCCCCGATTTTACCACCGATTTTATTTTGGACACCGACGCCTGCAGCAGCGGGCTGGGCGCGGTGTTGTCACAGGTACAAGATGGGACGGAACGAGTCATCGCGTACGCCAGCCGGACCCTGAGTGGGGCCGAGCTGAACTATTGCGTGACCCGCCAAGAGTTGTACGCTGTGATTTTCGCATGTAAACAGTTCCGGCCGTATTTGTACGGCCGGAGATGTCGCGTACGCACTGACCATTATGCTCTTCAGTTCCTTCTTACATTCAAGGAGCCGCGGGGGAAGATGGCCCGGTGGTTGGCGCAGTTGCAGGAGTACCATTCATAATCTATAAATATATTCCGTCTTTTGTTATTCGATGACATCTAGCAGTGAAAATCGTGATTGTAATATGACCATGTTGTAATCGTAATAATTTATATCCGACCTTTGCATATGGTTATAAATTAAAACACTAGTTTATAATCGTTTAATGTTTAGTGTTATCGTTTATAGTATTACAGTTTACATGTTATAAAGTAAAGTTTATCCCCGACATACTTCGGGATTAGTGACTGGTACGTTGATGAACGATTAACTACGGGGACCTTTCCCCTCAAGGAACACGTGTTAATTGGGTAGACAGCCAAGATGCTGCCGGTTAAGGGCACACTTGTGTGATGGAGATCCTCCACCTGAAATTATCTTAACATGTTTTTGCAATGAACATTATAAAATAAAGAACGGACAAACATTTGTTAAAAATACGTTTTTATTCATCTGCAATCATTTTTAAGTCAAAACTCGAAGGGAATATTTATTATGTCCTATGTTCACACATTTCCAGTACCATGCAAACCATTTCCGTTCCAGGAATACCAAAGCGTTAAAGTATCATTTCCCATGATTTCCTTATTAGTTCACCACATTTGTTCACTGTGCGTCTATGTTGAAGTCAAGGCCATATATCCAACGAACGCGTCATCAATGTACATCCTGAAATCGGCTATCTAAAATCGATTAATAAAAAAAAATTTATAAAAAAAAAGCTCTACACTTGACACAAAATCTTTAAAATGTTGAGTAAAGATTTACCTACAGACGCATTCCAACTTTAGCTCAACAGGAACACCTAACGACTACAATGAACCCTCTCACAACCAGTGCTCACCACACCAATTCGGCAAGTAATCCGATAACATTACAAACCACCACTGTGCACGTGATTGAGGTATAGCCACATGACATAATATTTTTTCAGTCACCCCGAGTTCTCGGGTTGATCCTCGAGCCACTCCATTACATCCAACCATCTCTCGGGATCCAACTGCATGGGATCGATAGTGGAATTATCTTCAGGAATCATTGCAGCACCTTGAATTTCACCTTTTGATTTCAGCTTCCTATCATCGTGGACCTTCTGATGCCTGTTCCGTTTTGACGACTGTGCAAATGCCTTCCCACGCACAGAGCACAGGAACGGCTTATCGCCCGTGTGTGTTTTCTTATGAGTTTGAAGAGTCGATGAGTCTGCAAATGCCTTCCCACACACAGAGCACAGGAATGGCTTCTCGCCCGTGTGTGTTCTCTGATGAGTTCGAAGAGTTGATGAGTCTGCAAATGTCTTCCCACACACAGGGCACAGGAATGGCTTCTCGCCCGTGTGTGTTCTCTGATGACTCTGAAGATGTGATGATCGTGCAAATGTCTTCCCACACACAGGGCACAGGAATGGCTTCTCTCCCGTGTGTGTTCTCTGATGACTCTGAAGATGCGATGACTGTGCAAATGTCTTGCCACACACAGAGCACAGGAATTGCTTCTCGCCCGTGTGTGTTCTCTGATGAGTTTGAAGAGTTGATGCCCGTGCAAATGCCTTCTCACACACAGAGCAAAGGAAAGGCTTCTCGCCCGTGTGTGTTCTCTGGTGACTCTTAAGACTTGATTGCCGTGAATATGCCTTCCCACACACAGAGCAATTGAATGGCTTCTTGCCTCCGTGTGCGTGGGGCTGTGGAGAGCGTCTCTGCTCCATGTGAGCGTAGTAACAGCAGCTGTGTTATTGAGTCAAAAGTACGCTATCGGCCGTAAGGATGTTTAGCGTTTAGTTTTAGATTTTGTTAACTGCTAAAACAAGAACGACACTCGCGTCTAACCGAGACGCAAAAAAATCCCGCTAATTTGACGACGAACACGTTTAAGATGTTATCCGCGAAAATAGACACTTACTTGGAGATTCACGCTATATCTGTAACCCGTCTAAAGATGTCGCCACGAACTCTCCCGACGCAAAGTCGCCTAACTGTCGACACAGCAATTGTGCTCGCCAGGCTGCGTTGTCTCGCGGTTGAAGGGCGATCAGCAGAGCGACGAGTCGAGCGTCCAACCTCATCAAGTTCCCTCTCGAAATGGCATTGAGCTCTGCTTCTGAGCCGCCTTATAACTCCCCCACGAGGATCCAATCCTTTGTCTTTCAGGATATTTGCATTCGATTGTTAATTTTGGAAGGTACAATCCACATGTCTATTAACATACCGAAGGGTAATGTGCCCATTATGCTTCATGCATGAATATGTAAGTGCATCTCAGTGTGTAATTGTGCGCTTATTTTGAATAAATAGAAAAACACGTTCCCATGCCCTCCATTGTCCTCGATTTAAAGTGAATGCAGCCCCGTGGCGTTGCCAAAAATCGCCGAGCTTCGGGAGTGAGCACGTACAGACGCGTAGTGACCACACTTGCAATACAATCACTCTAACATCAGTAACCAAAATCCGATCTGGTACGTGGTCTCCGCTTGGTCTGGTTTGTATCCGTCATCACTCTGGAGACAAACAGCGAGGCATGGTTTGGCCAGCCACCACCTCGTTTGCCAAAACGACTTTAATAGCTGCTCTCAAACAACACTATCACCAATGGTTGTTTACAGGCTAGGCTGTTAAGCGGACAATCAGTCGTTTTGGGCAAGGCTTATGGGAAAATACACACCTCTGTTATCCCATAAACACAATACACAGCATCGGTAAGGCTGCCTTGTTGGGAGATGTATTTTTGGTAAGGTGCTGCAACTGGAGTTGTGACTGGGTTATCACACGGATTCCGAAAAGAAGCTTAGACGATACGATCCACTGCGCTCCATCTCCCCACATGAACGACGACATTCTGAGTTTTAAAAAAGTGGAATATATATTTGTAAATACGTTTTTTTAAATAATGTGTATTGTATCTATGTTACAATGTGTGATTGTTATACTCTTTATTTGTGTATACTGTATATACTTATATGGCTATTCGATTCCATTGATACTACACATTCATCCAACAGTGGAAAGTGTGATTCTAATACGAGTGGGATTCGAATAATTGTAATTCGATTCTAATCCTGCATATCCTACCCCCGGTTGGCATATTAACTTACCATACGTACAACCACAGTGTGATTCTAATTAGCTCAGTGCGATTCTAATGATTAGTATGCGATTATAATCCCACACCTCCAATTATGTGGTTCTGCACTATAACAGTTAATCGTATTTTAAAGCGTAACAATGGCTAGGTTGTAGTTCATAGGTTATAATATTATATTTCACTATGTTAGAGTTTAACATGTGAGAGTTTACAATGTCAGAGTTGATCAAGAGCGTCAATCTTGATCGACGCAGAAGCAAATACAGCAGCAGCAACATCACATTTCGAGGGCGACGCAGCTACTTTTGATTCTGCTGCTTCCGCTGCTCAGATATTTGTTGCCAGGCCCTGCTCTCGCGGGACCCCACACGTCTTTAGAAATGATTGAGATGAAGATGTCTGAGCTGATAATTAAATTAATAAAGAGTACTTTGTTTGTGTGTATAGGTCTGTGTCATCGGGGATCAGCGAATACTGCTTATGAATGAACTCGCACTCCTTTATGACCGACATTGAACTAATTTGGTTGATCGAGACGAACAAGGCACGTGCCATGTCCAGACGAATTGATATTAACAATATTGTCCTTAAATATAATGCTAACACTGGATTAACGTTAACACTGGATTAAACATGCACATTTTAAACCCTGCCTCGCATTTATGACTAACGATTCGCATTTGCACATAACATATATTCAAGCACAGTAAAATGCGCATACGAACATATTGTTACTAGAATAATTTTAATTCGATTCTAACCCTGCAAACCCCCATAGTTCGCATATCCGTCCCCCGATTCGATTGAACCTACACTTTACATACATATGAGCGATTAAAATGCTTCTAATGACATTCTCATACCGTAACTCCGTTTATGGTGGAATCTATTATAAAAAAAATTAAAGTCGTCGTTGAATGTTTAGTGTTATTGTTCATAGTGTTATCAGTTTACATGTTATAGAGTACAGGTGATCCCCCGTATACTTCGGGTTTCGGGACCAGAGCGTTGCGAAACGATTTCTAACGAGGAACTTTCCCTGCCAGAGCGCAAGCCGCTAATGAAAAGAACACGGGGCGGCGGGAACACGTGCTTCCATGGGCGGTCGTAGACAGGTTGTGTTGCCCAAAGGTGGCACCGGGTACGTCCCCCAAGTTGCTCCGCCCATGGCGGCGACAGGTAGAAGTCATAGAGGTAAAATGGCCGCAGTGTGTACCCATGTAGTTATGTCCGTCCCCACCCAGACAGCTCATCGCCATGTCCTGTACAGCCCAAGTCTGGTGTGTCCAACGTGGTGGGGCTCTCGGCAACGGAAACCGTACTCCAAACGAAATGTGTTGTGGCGCCCACGGTTTCTGAGGCCCGGGGTGCCTCAAGGATCCGCCACGTGCGAGGAACCGGTGCCTGGAGCCTGGTCAAATTCTTCAAAAGAAGCCAGGGACCTGCCTAATCCTTCAAGGCTGTGGTGCGAGCCCTTGACGCCCCGAAATGCACAAGATTCTACCATGGGCGCGGGACGGGCGTCGAGAACCAGGTCAAAATGCGCAAGGTTGCACTTGTAGGCTCCACGCCCAATATCAATGCTGTATATTGCTATTCGGTGCCATTGCGATGGAACATTCTACCAGCAGTGGGCAGCTTGATTCTAATACGACCATGGGGCGATTTTAAGAATTTTGATGCGATTCTAAATCTGGCACCACCCAGGCCGCATTTACGACTCCCGATGTGCATCTACATATAACATACATTCTAGCTCAGTGTTATTCGAATACTACCATAGTGATATTCTAGTCATTTTAATCCGATCATAATCCTGCACCCCCCAATTCGCATATTCGACCACCGGTTCGCATGTCCAAATGCCATAGATGCATATTACATTCGTACATACGAGCACAGTTCGCTTGCACGTACGCTATACATACATATGCGCAGAGTGTGATTCTAATACGATCACGTTGTAATTCTAATACTTGTAATGAGATTATAATACCGTACCTAATTAAACGAATTTATAGTATTTTAATGTTTCGTGTTATCGTTTATAGTGTTATAGTTCACGTGTCATAGCGTACAGGATTCCCTGTATACTTGATGATCAGGGACCGTAACGTTGTGAATCGATTCATAATAGGGACCTTCCCCTCCTGAACTACACATGTTAATGGGGAGACAGCCAACATGAAACCTGTTAAGGTCAGACTTGTGACGGAGATGCTCCACCTGAAACTCGGCTCCACACGTTTTTGCTATTAACATTTTAAAATAAAAACGGACAAGCAGTTGTTGAAAATAATATTTTATTCATCTGCAAGAATATTTACAGTACTTCAACTCGTATCAAAAGTTTATGATGTCCTATGTTCAAACAGTTACAGTACAATCTTGTTTTGAAGCTGTCGTGACTGCAGGAGTCCATACTCTTTGGTTCTTTCGTTAAAGTCACGTAGGTAGAAAAATAATAGATCACATTATTGATCTATTATTATCTATTATTTTGTCTACCTATATGACGTTACCGAAAGAACCAAAGAGTATAGCTACAGTACAATGCAAATCAAGTCACTTCCAGGAATACCAAACCAAAGTATAATTCGCCATTGATCTCCTTATTAGTTCACCACGTTTATTCACTGTGCGTCTGTGTTTAAGTCAAAGCCAAACATCCAACGAACGCGAAATCAATGTATATCCTGAAATCAGTTATCTAAAGTAGCGTATTACCATCCAAAAAAGCGATATAAAGGAAAAAAACAAGTAAAATATATCGAGTAAAGTTGTAACTACAGACTCATTCCAACAGGAACACTCGACCACGACAAGATTGTCAGGAATTGAACGGTCTCACAAACACTGCTCCTCGCACCACTTCAGCAAGTAATTCGATATTAGAAACCACTAACCGCACGTGACGAAATATTCTAACAAACAGCAAAACTCGAGTATCAAAATCACTGATACATCCATTGTAACGTATTACTTGGTCTAAAACATACACAATTGCACACAATGTGGCTTAATAGGTCTCACCAAACCTAAAATTATTGCAGTTATCCTTTGCTTTAGATTTAACTTTCGAGCGACTCCATTACATCCAGCCATCTCACGGGATCCAATTTCATGGGCTCGAAGGTTGAATCTTTTTCAGGACTCATTTCAGCACCTTTTTTGTAACCGGGCCCTGCTCTCACGGGACCCCACACGTCGTTGGAAATTATTGCGATGATCATGTCTGAGCTGAGAATTAAGTGGCTAAAGATGACTTTGTTTAACCATAACTGTGTGTGTAGTTTAGTGTTATTGGGGCTAAGTGGGTACTACTCATGAATGAACTTGCACTCCTTTATGACCGACAATTGTACTCATTTTGGTTGATCGAGTAGAACAAGGCACGTGCCACGTCCAGACAAATTATTATCAACAATAGTTGCCTAAAATATGATGCTAAAATAAACGTCAACACTGGATGCAACGTGCACCCATTAACCTCTGCCTCGTATTTACGACTAGCGATTGCACTTGTACATAACATACATGCAATCACAGAAAAATGCTAATACGACCATGTCCTGGAAACCATGGCAAGGTCATCCCATGAGGACTGCCTGGATGAAAACCAGCATGGAAGGGGCCCATTGTGGGGCCGGCTATGCTAATGACATAGTCCCGTGTGTGTGTGATGTGAGGTCTCCTGGCAGCAGTCATTCTCCGCTGTAGTCCTGGCATCTGCTGCTCAGCTTCATTCCCCAGCTGTGGTCCCAGTGGCACCGTCTCTCTGGGGAACCGTGTGGTGTGTGTAGCGAGTATCACGGGGTGGACGGGTAGTGTGGTGATAGTGGTCACGGTTGGCATCGATGCACGACCACCGCCACCACCCCTACTGGGCGGTGGACCTGCCACCACAAAGCAGCACGCGGCGGAGGAGTGAGGCGATCGCTCTCGCCACGCGAGCGAGGCCCCCTCGCTTCCTCTTCTTTCCGTGCATCTCCACCTGCACCTCTTCCGTTTTCTCCTCCGTCTCATCCTCCTCCATCTCCTCTTCTTCATCCCCCACCACCATCTTCTCCTCTACCTCCTCCTCTTCCTGCGCCACCTCCATCTTCTCCATCTTCTTCTCCTCCGCTAGCACCATCTCTTCCACCTTCATCTCCTCCTCAACTTCCGGCACCACCATCTCCACCACCGTCTTTTCTTCCTCCTCCACCACCATTGTTTCCCCTTTGTCCGTCGTCTCCATGTCCTCCACCACGACCATCTGTTCATCCTTTGTTGTCTCCTTGTCCTCCATCTCCGTATTGTCTTTCTCCTCTCCCTCCGTGTTTTCCTCCATTGTCACCATCACAATCTCGTCCTCCTTTGCCTTCTCTTCCTCCGATTTCTCCTCCTCTGTCTCTACCTCATCCTCCATCATCTCCTTCACCTCTTCCTTCGTCTTCTTCTCCACAACCTCTGTCTTCACTCCAAAGGCCTGGACGAGTGAGGAGGAGGGCTGAGCTGGCTCAGATCTGTGAAGAGACAACACGACACCGTTCTAGATTTGAAGCTTTCGTGACTGCAATGATTCATATTCTTAGGTTTTTTCGGTAAAGTCACATAGGTAAAAAACATTAAAAAGTAAAATAAAATAAAAAATAAAAATCACGACGTTTCGGAGGCAACACAAGCTTCCGTCTTCAGGTGGTACCGTCACAGCCACGACAGCTGTATCAAGTAAATGAGAGATTTCAGAAGCTACCACTCCGTTTATATAATGGTTGGAGAAGGTGGTGGGGCAAGGGCCGCATACTTTTATTAATATGGTAAGGTGAGGCTTAAGACTAAGAATAGACTGCATATTCTTAGTCTTGACTCAACCTGTAACAGGGAGACCACCACTAGACATGGTAAAACTGTGCATATCCGACCCCCGATACGAATGTCCAAATTACATACATACATACATACGAGCATCGTGTGATTCTAATATGGCCACATTATGATTCTAATCATTCTTTTGTGATTCTAATACCACTCTTCAACATATGGTGTTCTAAACTATAACACTAGTTTATAGTGTTATTTTCACAGCATTATAATGTATTGTTTATAGTTTATAGGTGATATTGTTCACAACATTAGAATAATTATAATAGACCAAAGAGTTATTCAAATAATTTTAATCCGATCCTGCACCTTCAGTTTCACATATCTTCTATATTCAAGCAGAGTAAACGCTAATACGACCATAATGTTATTCAAATAGTTTAATTCGGTAATCCCATTTATTCAAAATAAGCGCATAATTACACACTGAGATCCACTTACATATGCATGCATGAAGCACAATGGGCACATTACCCTTCGGTATGTTAAAAGACATGCGGATTGTGCCTTCAAAAATTGACAATGGAATGCAAATATCCTAAAATGCAAAGGATTGGATCCTAGGGGGGGAGTTATAAGGCGGCTCAGAAGCAGAGCTCAATGCCATTTCTAGAGGAAACTTGATGAGGTTGGACGCTCGACTCGTCGCTCTGTTGATCGCCCTTCTACCGCGATTTTGCGTCGGGAGAGTTCGTGGCGACATCTTCAGACGGGTTCCAGACATCGATATACCGTGAATCTCCAAGTAAGTGTCTATTTTCGCGGAACGTGTTCTTCGTCAAATTAGCGGGATTTTTTTGCGTCTCGGTTAGACGCGAGTGTCGTTCTTGTTTTAGCAGTTAACAAAATCTAAAACTCAACGCTAAACATCCTTGCACGTCAAAAACTGTAAATGGTCAAAATTATAACCAAAAAGTACTCGATACGGCTTAATAGGTATAACCACATGACATAATATTTTTTCAGTCACCCCGAGCTCTCTGGTTGACTCTCGAGCCACTCCATTACATCCAGCCATCTCTCGGGATCCAACTGCATGGGATCGAAGGTGGAAACTTCTTCAGGACTCATTGCAGCACCTTGAATTTCAGCTTTTGATTTCAGTTTCCTATCATTGTGGACCTTCTGATGCCTGTTCATGGTTGATGACTGTGCAAATGTCTTCCCACACACAGAGCAAAGGAATGGCTTATCGCCCGTGTGTGTTTTCTTATGAGTTTGAAGAGTTGATGACTGCAAATATCTTCCCACACATAGAGCACAGGAATGGCTTCTCGCCCGTGTGTGTTCTCTGATGAGTTTGAAGAGTTGATGAGTCTGCAAATGTCTTCCCACACACAGGGCACAGGAATGGCTTCTCGCCCGTGTGTGTTCTCTGATGACTCTGAAGATGTGATGACTGTGCAAATTTCTTCCCACACACAGGACACAGGAATGGCTTCTCGCCCGTTTGTGTTTTCTGATGGTCTTGAAGATGTGATGACTTTGCAAAAGTCTTACCACACACAGGACACAGGAATGGCTTCTCGCCCGTTTGTGTTTTCTGATGGTCTTGAAGATGTGATGACTTTGCAAAAGTCTTACCACACACAGGGCACAGGAATGGCTTCTCTCCCGTGTGTGTTCTCTGGTGTCTCTGAAGATGTGATGGCCATGAAAATGTCTTCCCACACACAGAGCAATTGAATGGCTTCTTGTCTCCGTGTGCGTGGGGCTGTGGAGAGCGTCTCTGCTCCATGTGAGCGTAGTAACAGTAGCGGTGTTATCGAGTCAAAAGTACGCTATCGGCCGCAAGGATGTTTAGCGTCGAGTTTTGGATTTTGTTAACTGCTAAAACAAGAACGACACTCGCGTCTAACCGAGATGCAAAAAAATCCCGCTTATTTGACGACGAACACGTTTAAGAGTTTGTCTGCGAAAATAAACACTTACTTGGAGATTAACGGTATATCGATGTCTGGAACCCGTCTGAAGATGTCGCCACGAACTCTCCCGACGCAAAGTCGCCTAACTGTCGACACAGCAATTGTGCTCGCCAGGCTGCGTTGTCTCGCGGTTGAAGGGCGATCAGCAGAGCGACGAGTCGAGCGTCCAACCTCATCAAGTTCCCTCTCGAAATGGCATTGAGCTCTGCTTCTCAGTCGCCTTATAACTCCCCCCCTAGGATCCAATCCTTTGTCTTTCAGGATATTTGCATTCGATTGTTAATTTTGGAAGGAACAATCCGCATGTCTATTAACATACCGAAGGGTAATGTGCCCATTGTGCTTCATGCATGAATATGTAAGTGCATCTCAGTGTGTAATTGTGCGCTTATTTTGAATAAATGGAAAAACACGTTCCCCATGCCCTCCATTGTCCTCGATTTAAAGTGAATGCAGCCCCGTGGCGTTGCCAAAAACCGCCAAGCTTCGGGAGTGAGCACGTACAGACGCGTAGTGACCACACTTGCCACACAATCACTCTAACATCAGTAACCAAAATCCGATCTGGTACATGGTCTCCGCTTGGTCTGGTTTGTATCCGTCATCACTCCGGAGACAAACAGCGAGGCATGGTTTGGCCAGCCACCACCTCGTTTGCCAAAACGACTCTAATAGCTGCTCTCACACAATACTATCACCAATGGTGGTTTACAGGCTAGGCTGTTTAGCGGACAATCAGTCGTTTTGGGCAAGACGTATAGGAAAATACACACCTTTGTTATCCCATAAACACTATAGAGCATCGGTAATGCTGCCTTGTTGGGGAGATGTAGTTTGGGTAAGGTGCTGTCACTGCAGTTAGGCGATGTGACTGGGTTATCACACGGATTCCGAAAAGCAGCTTAGACAATACGATCCACTGCGCTCCATCTCCCCACATGAACGACGACATTCTGAGTTTTAAAAAAGTGGAATATATATTTGTAAATACGTTTTTTAAATAATGTTTATTGTATCTATGTTACAATGTGTGATTGTTATACTCTTTATTTGTGTATACTGTATATACTTATATGGCTATTCGATTCCATTGATACGACACATTCATCCAACAGTGGAAAGTGTGATTCTAATACGAGTGGGATTCGAATAATTGTAATTCGATTGTAATCCTGCATATCCTACCCCCGGTTGGCATATTAACTTACCATACGTACAACCACAGTGTGATTCTAATTAGCTCAGTGCGATTCTAATGATTAGTATGCGATTATAATCCCACACCTCCAATTATGTGGTTCTGCACTATAACAGTTAATCGTATTTTCCAGCGTAACAATGGATAGGTTGTAGTTCATAGGTTATAATATTATATTTCACTATGTTAGAGTTTAACATGTGAGAGTTTACAATGTCAGAGTTGATCAAGAGCGTCAATCTTGATCGACGCAGCAGCAACATCACATTTCGAGGGCGACGCAGCTACTTCTGATTCTGCTGCTTCCGCTGCTCAGATATTTGTTGCCAGGCCCTGCTCTCGCGGGACCCCACACGTCTTTGGAAATTATTGAGATGAAGATGTATGAGCTGATAATTAATTTAATAAAGAGTACTTTGTTTGTGTGTGTAGGTCTGTGTCATCGGGGATCAGCGAATACTGCTTATGAATGAACTCGCACTCCTTTATGACCGACATTGAACTAATTTGGTTGATCGAGACGAACAAGGCACGTGCCATGTCCAGACGAATTGATATTAACAATATTGTCCTTAAAAATAATGCTAACACTGGATTAACGTTAACACTGGATTAAACATGCACATTGTAAACCCTGCCTAGCAATTATGACTAACGATTCGCATTTGCACATAACATATATTCAAGCACAGTAAAATGCGCATACGAACATATTGTTACTAGAATAATTGTAATGCGATTCTAACCCTGCAAACCCCCACAGTTCGCATATCCGTCCCCCGATTCGATTGAACCTACACTTTACATACATATGAGCGATTAGAATGCTTCTAATGACATTCTCATACCGTAACTCCGTTTATGGTGGAATCTATTATAAAAAAAAATTAAAGTCGTTGAATGTTTAGTGTTATTGTTCATAGTGTTATCAGTTTACATGTTATAGAGTACAGGTGATCACCCGTATACTTCAGGTTTCGGGACCAGAACGTTGTGAAACGATTTACAACGAGGAACTTTCACCGCCAGAGCGCAAGCCGCTAATTAAAAGAACACGGGGCGGCGGGAACACGTGCTTCCATGAGCGGTCGTAGACAGGTTGTGTTGCCCAAAGGTGACACCGGGTACGTCCACCAAGTTGCTCCGCCCACGGCGGCGACAGGTAGAAGTCATAGAGGTGACATGGCCGCAGTGTGTACGCATGTTGTTATGTCCGTCCCCACCCAGACAGCTCATCCCCATGTCCTGTACAGGCCAAGTCTGGTGTGTCCGACGTGGTGGGGCGCTCGGCAACGGAAACCGTACGCCAAAAGGAAATGTGTTGTGGCGCCCACAGTTTCTGAGCCCCTGAGGCCTGGGGTGCCTCAAGGATCCGCCACGTGCGAGGAACCGGTGCCTGGAGCCTGGTCAAATTCTCCAAAAGAAGCCAGGGACCTGCCTAATCCTTCAAGGCTGTGGTGTGAACCCTTGACGCCCCGACATGCACAAGATTCTACCATGGGCGCGGGACCGGCGGCGAGAACCAGTTCAAAATGCGCAAGGTTGCGCTTTTAGGCTCCACGCCCAATATCAATGCTGTATATTGCTATTCGGTGCCATTGCGATGGAACATTCTACCAGCAGTGGGCATCTTGATTCTAATACGACCATGGTGCGATTTTAATAATTTTGATGCGATTCTAAATCTGGTACCACCCAGGCCGCATTTACGACTCCCGATGTGCATCTACATTTAACATACATTCTAGCTCAGTGTTATTCGAATACTACCAAAGTGTTATTATAATCATTTTAATCTGATCATAATCCTGCACCCCCCAATTCGCATATCCGACCACCGGTTCGCATGTCCAAAGGCCATAGATGCATATTACATTCGTACATACGAGCACAGTTCGCTTGCACGTACGCTATACATTCATATGCGCAGAGTGTGATTTTAATACGATCACGTTGAAATTCTACTGCTTGTAATGAGATTATAATACCGTACCTCTGTTTTTGGTGTTATAAATGATGAAACTAGTTTATAGTATTTTAATGTTTCGTGTTATCGTTTATAGTGTTACAGTTCACGTGTCTTAGCGTACAGGATTCCCTGTGTACTTGATGATTAGGGACCGTAACGTTGTGAATCGATAAATAATGGGGCCCTTTCCCCTCCAGGAACACATGTTAATGGGGAGACAGCCAAGATGCTGCCGGTTAAGGGCAGATGTGTGACGAAGATCCTCCACCTGAAACTCGCTTAAAACACGTTGTTGATATGAATACATAAACGGACACACATTTGTTTAAAAAAATCGTTTTTATTCATCTGCAATCATTTTAAGTCAAAACTCGAACCGAATGTATTATGTCCTATGTTCACACATTTCCAGTACCATGCAAACCATTTCCGTTCCAGGAATACCAACGCGTTAAAGTATCATTCCCCATTATTTCCTTATTAGTTCACCACATTTGTTCACTGTGCGTCTATGTTGAAGTCAAGGTCATATATCCAACGAACGCGTCATCAATGTACATCCTGAAATCAGCTATCTAAAATCGATTAATACCAATCAAAAAAAGCCATACACATGAAAACAATCTTTAAAATGTTGAGTAAAGATGTATCTACAGACGCATTCCAACTTTAGCTCAACAGGAACACCAAACGACTACAATTGAACCCTCTCGCCACCAGTACTCATCACACAACTTCAGCAAGCAATCCGATAACATTACAAACTACCACTGTGCACGTCATTAAACTCTCAAAAATTACACACAAAAGTACTCGATACGGCTTAATAGGTATAACCACATGCAACATTATTTTTCAGTCACCCCGAGCTCTCGGTTTGATCCTCGAGCCACTCCATTACATCCAGCCATCTCTCGGGATCCAACTGCATGGGATCGAAGGTGGAAACTTCTTCAGGACTCATTGCAGCACCTTGAATTTCAGCTTTTGATTTCAGTTTCCTATCATTGTGGACCTTCTGATGCCTGTTCCTGGTTGATGAGTGTGAAAATGCCTTCCCACACACAGAGCACAGGAATGGCTTCTTGCCCGTGTGTGTTCTCTGATGACTCTGAAGATGTGATGACTGTACAAATGCCTTCCCACACACAGGGCACAGGAATGGCTTCTCTCCCGTGTGTGTTCTCTGATGGTCTTGAAGAGTTGACGAGTGTGCAAATGCCTTACCACACACAGGGCACAGGAATGGCTTTTCACCCGTGTGTGTTCTCTGGTGTCTCTGAAGATGTGATGGCCATGAAAAGGACTTCCCACACACAGAGCAATTGAATGACTTCTTGCCTCCGTGTGCGTGGGGCTGTGGAGAGCGTCTCTGCTCCATGTGAGCGTAGTAACAGCAGCGGTGTTATCGAGTCAAAAGTACGCTATCGGCCGCAAGGATGTTTAGCGTTGAGTTTTGGATTTTGTTAACTGCTAAAACAAGAACGACACTCGCGTCTAACCGAGACGCAAAAAAATCCCGCTTATTTGACGACGAACACGTTTAAGAG